GACCAGTGTTGGACTGTAGAACTGCTTTGAAATTCATATGAGCTGTTCGCACTAAAGTAAAAAAATAACATAACTTATGCGGCTACCCCTTTGGCGCCAGCTGCAAGGCCGGAGCTGAACAAAACACCCTGATAACGACTGTGTTTAGTCTGTTCCTTCCCATTCCCTACAAGGCCACCTGGGTTGGCTGGAAGACTGTTTACTTAGCCTGGCAGGGCGAAGGACACTGTCTCAGCTGAACTCTGGACACGCACACACATACATATACTGATACTGATAAGCACTCACCGACGCATCACCCTCCCTACCCCGGATCCAACGCCACCTCCAACGCTTACCTCCCCTCTGATGTGGACATCGGGTAAGTTGGAGGCGCAGTCGAAAGACCAGATCAGATTTACACACTGGAACACTTTCCCATGTTGCTGTCTGTGTTTATTGTGCTATGGTGTGTTGATATCTGTGCATTCCTGTATTATTCTTTTGTGTTACACATTTTGATGTTTTTTTCCTCGCTACCAAGCCTGACCTGTCTCCCCAATGTGATGTTTGTGTATTGTATGTACGGTCGGCAAGGTCTGTCATCTCGGTTGTGGGCAAAAGACCTGCAACTGACAAATAAAGGCTATCTCATCTCATCTCATCATCTCATCTCATCACAAACTATCATAGACCAAACACAAGGTGTGATCTAACAAGCGCTTTGGTGAAATCAAGATCACTTTCACATCACACCAGTTTAATTAATGAAGCGTGAAGCGATATTACATATTCTATTTGTTTTTCCCAAAACATCTAAACATATCCAGGGATTTACAATAAAACATTCAATCATATTATGGGTTATGTTTAGCTGGTGAGATTCTAGGTTAGTCACATGTGGAGTCTGAGTGCTGAAAATAGCCCAAGTTTAGTCCAGTCAGTTAAAATAACATGTCTTTGTACCTTGACATTTGAGTTTTTACTCCACATACATAGATCTATGTGTAAATGACATTCCTGTGTCATTGTGTGTGGCTCTGGATGTCTATGTGCCGACCCCAGGACAGTCGGTGCAGAGTTGAAAACACTTTTTCTATAGAAGCTATCAGAGAGATAGCTGATCCTGTATTTGCTGATACAAGTGACAATTTATCCTGTCAGCAAAGAGTTAGAGTGGAAGGTGACGAGAAAGTGAGAAAATTGAGGGGTAGATTGTGAACCTACTGGATCCATCCTGTGCTCTTCCCAACCATTTACCCTCGGGGTTTCCCTGGACTCGAATGATGTCCACGGGGTCTCCCTGCTTCAGACCAAGGTCAGTCTTGCTGCTTCGACAATCTGTGGATGCCTTTCCTTTCTGAAGGACCTCCAGGGGACCAACCAACTAATACACAACCACGCATGCACATGAATTGAATTGTGCACATGACAAATAACTTGGTTTTGATGACTGAGGTGTGACAGTCTTATTGATTCTACCTGAGACGTTCACTCACTTTGAATCTTTTCCGGGCCTCTTGTTCCTTCTTCTCGCGTTCCTTCTGCTTTTTTTTCTCAGCCTCCTGACGTTTTTTCTCCTCTTTGTCCTCTTTCTCTTTCTTCTTCTCTTGCTTTTGTTCCGCTGCTTCCCTTTAACACCAAAAGTACAAAGCATTTAAAAACAAAAGTTTTGATAGATGGATGGATAAATAGGTTTAAGATTCAGTTTTATTGGGTAAGAAAGGTGAAGAAGAGCTTTCCGACTGGGTGGAGTTTGTGACAGAAAGCTAGCAGGAAGCCTTGAAGGGAAGAGACACTGAGGTCCTATACGAGGTCCTCACACATTGAGAGCCATCGCTAGAAAATTGTGCATTTAAAGATCAAGCTAAAACAAATACCTGAATCCCAAATATCTGTTGGGATGATCTAAAATGTGGTTCAGAACTATTTTTGAGTCAGTATAATCAGTGCAGCAGGTGTAGAATTCGTGCATGCAATGTTGTTTGGTGCAAGAACCTAAATCAAAATCACCACACAACTGAGCTCTGAGGGCTTTTATAGAATGCTGACAGACTGGACCCAGGTGCTGCCGGTGCCACTGATGGAAAGAAGCCACACCAGCTCCCCAGTGCCCACAAACGAGACCTGTCACACCAACAGGCCATAAGGGAGACCAAACTTCTCCATATACATCTTTTGCAAGTATGCATATGTATACTTGCATGTGTACATATGTATACCTGCCCTATACATATGCACGTATAAAATCACACATTAACGTAAGGCAGACATTCTTGGCTTCAACTTTTCATGGATTTTGCACCTTGGACCGTGCACCCCAACCAGGCATGTGACAGCATGTGTTTTATCTCTTAAGGTCCAAAGAAGGCACTGAAATAAGAGAAAGCACACAGATTGATAAAGATCCTGCAACCGTGCAACAGTTTTTTTCTCATACGTCATTTGCTGTTGATTTGCCCTTTAATAATTTAATGCTCCATTGCTCTCTAAGAACATAATGTGGCACGCAGCACTTTCCTGTAATACTTAGCCAGGAACAATTGCGGAGGATGCACATAACAGCATCTATGCATATGGTCTATGTATTGAATTCTCTTCAGCGACAGACCGCACATGCTCAACAATTTCTGCACTAGGAAGTGTGTTTGGCCACTGCATTGGAAGACATGTGGAGCTGATGCTTTTATGAGAGAGAGCTGGATGATCAACCCCTTATTTTATGTTCTGCTGTAACTGAGTCTCATCGACTGCTGTCTAGAAAAAAGGACTCACAAAGCTGAAAAAAGCCACGCAAGTAGCCTTTAAATTGAAGCTTCTTTGATTTGTGAAGTTTTGCAACCATTTATATTGGAGTGCAATCACCATCAAATTTATGAAATCATTCCTTGACTATTTTTTCTTTTCTTTTTTACTATGTTCATCTAGTAATTTGGCCAGAAATTACAATAGAGTAGGGTCAGGATTAGGATGCATTTCAGCCACCTGCTGAACAGGCATAGTTTCAGAAATTGGAAGGTATTACCTTTCAGATCAGGTTGTTTACATGCACTTAGCTTTCTAAGTTCATCCATCCATCTGTCCGTCCATCTTCTCCCATTGGGACATTTCTGAAAAATCTCCCGTAAAAAGTGTCCAGGAGGCATTCTAGTTAGATTCATCAACTGGATCCTTTTGATGTGGAGGAGTAGCGGGTCTGTAGTTCTTCATGAACAATGTAAGGTGTTAAAAATAACATGTTAGTGTAATCACATTACATTTCTTGATTCCCCTCAGAAGATCCTCATTTCTTCTGCTTGTATAGGTGAACTTAATCTTTTGAATCTGATGTTCAGCTCTCCTCTCCAGAACCCCGACACAGAACTTCCAGGAGAGGCTAAGGAATATGATCCTCCCAAAGCTGGAGGGAGGTGACCTGGTGGAAGTTAAGATGTTAAGGTTAGGGTTGGAGCTGCTGCAACAAGATGCCAAAAGGTTCCAGAAAAGCTAAAAGACAAAAATCGAATTGACAAAATGCTTTTTTAGTAGTTTTTTTAGTGAAGTTTTGGGATCAAAATCACATTTCCTCATGAATAATATATGTAAGTCAAAAGTACATCTACACCTCCTCCACCCTTTTCAGATAAACTTGATCTTTTCATGGCCTGGAACTTGTTTAGGCTAATGTTTGTGCTAAAGTTGGCAAAAATTAATATTTACATATTATCTCCGTCTAGGGAGACAGTTACATCTAACACACACATCTAGAAGGACTTTCCTGCCAGGATCTCACATGCTAAATTGTGTGTTATAATTTGGAGAATTCAGACAAGCACACCGTAACCTTTCCCTCTGATTTGCTTTTCTTGCTCGCTCCTGACTGGATTTCTTGTTTCTGTTGGCAAGGCATGGGTCACAGTTTTCCACGCTGGATAGTGCAGTTCACATGCTTTGCATGGTTCAGAAGATATTTTATATTTCGTATTTCTATTTGGTTCGCGGCAAATAGAAATATGAAATAGAAAAAGGGTTTTAGAGTCGTAGGTGGTGTTGCTATTGCATCTTGATGGTAAGCTCCTAGACAAAGTCAGCAACTTAATACTGGATATAATGAAATGTATTAAGGTATGCTGAGGATTTTTCCAACAACTTGTATCACATTAAGGCAATTTTTCCAAAGCATGAAAGTAATGTGATACAAATTGCGGTTGTTGGACCTCTGACTGACAGAAATGACCAGTTTAAAGTGAGAGAGAAAAAGACAGCTAGCTTGCAAACGCTGATTCAAACACTGAATGAATAATAAAGAAGGCATTTACAGGATATAGAAGATACTGACAGAAAATATACAATGCTTTATTCACATAGAATCTACCAAAGAGATGGTCTATAGTTTGTGAACCCTGTAACCCTGCAACCCCTAAGTAAGATACTCAGACGGGAGCTGGTGAAGACAGCAAAATAGAGAATGATTAATATTTATCACGTCTCCTATCAGCAGAACTCAAATGCTTTCTACTTGACAGTCGACTGTGCGCAAATAATGCATCTGTCCTTCTGCTGGAGGATGGTGATCCAGGTCAGGAGTCCTTATAACTAAATGACAAAATAGCTTGTGTCTCAGCAGCCTATGTGAATGCTCTGTGGTGTATAGTCCCGCCATCAGTTGGATACATTAGCATTGTACTGGAATATTGTAACTACTGTAATGTTGTCCCTAAAGTGGATTGCACTGCAAACACGTGAAGTTCAACAATGAAAAAGCATGTCTATGCTTTTCATTAGCTGCTGTGCATAGCTGTATAACTCAAACTGCTAAGACATTTTTATCTATCAAACACAAAGAAAGTAAGCTTGATTCTGCTTTATTTCTGTATGGCTGTTTCTATTCTTATGTCACAGTGCACTAAAACAGAAATGGTGCTGCTACTTATTTAGCTCTTTCAGTAGCTAATGTCAACATGCAGGTACTCCCACTTAGAAACAGTGAAAAAAAAGAAGCAGGGAGCTCTGTCTTTGTCTTTCCTCATTTCATCTGAATTCCTTTGAGAGGCAGCCCTGTCAGCTTATGTTGAGCAGGAAAAAAAAACACACTCTGCCCATTGGACATACCCCTGTTCTTCTAATGCAGCCTTTCAAATTTTTATCAACACAGTTGCCGCTGTGAGAAATTCTAGTGTCTTTCTTTTCTTCAGAGAAGTGTAGACTGTTGTAAGTTATAGTGGGGGTTTTAATGCAGACTGGGATGGGAGAAGAAAGTTTTTGAAAGTCATCTATTAACAATGCATACAATTACGAGCACTGATGCAGCCATTTCATTCCATTAATGACCTGCACAATCTACTGAGGGCAGTACAAAATAATGGGTCAAAAACGTGGAGCGAGGCATCTACCAGCTACAATAACGCTGTATGAGCAGAGTTGTTTTTGTGCATATGTTTCTCTCTTCAGATCAAGAAGAGAGAGCTGAAGATATGGTCTGATGAGAGGTAGGGGTTTGGTGCTGGGTCACAGAAACTGGGGAAAGCTGTTCTCTGGATAAATCTGATAGGTGAGGTGGAGTGCATGAGTTAGGATTCCAGAGAACAGCTGGGTTATTATAAACAAGTCTGCTGTATCTAAATGCTGATCGGTGTAAGTGAAACGCACAGTGTGACACATGCAGAGAGGATGACCCAATGTTCTGTTTTGGTGTTAAATATTTGTGCATTTTGCAGTAAAGTGAATACCACAGAA